TCAAGGCTACTCGCTCACCAATGTCGACATGTCGAGCTTCCAGGGCGTCGATTGGGGATCTATGTATGGGATGGGAATGTACGTTTAAGAATGAGATACATATATGATACCGCACGCTCCCGCTCTCTGATCTCTTGGATCCGATGGGTCCTCTTTGGGGAAGAGGTCATCTTCCCCGTGTACGATACGATAGAATATTCCTTCTCCGAGGTTGGTCGTGGCGCGAACCCGCCTTTCGACTCCTGTTCGGGGATTTAGTGTCTCGGGAAACGGCCCACCGCTTGCGCTAAAACTACGAAATGATAATACTCAACCAAGAGATGACTTCCGTTGACGCTTCTGATCGCCGTTTTATCCGTCGTTCTCTTATCTCGCCGAGAAATGAAGGAGAAGTGGATTTTTCGATACTTTTATCATGGAATGGCATCGCGGCAAGCGGATAGAGCGAATGGGATCCAGTGAAGAAGGCTGAAATTTCAATCAATTCGCGCTCAAGCGAGGAATGAGTAAGGACGAGAGCAAAGATTATCAGGAAAACGAACCATCTCCAACGTACGGAAAGTCAGCGAATAGATGAGCACATACGAAGAAAGAGGATTGGAATTATCCGCGTAATCATATATGGTGTTTCCTTGAAAGTGGAAATCATATTTGGACCAACATATTTTGCGTTCAATTTTCATAATGCATTACTTAATTTATTTGTGAGCCAGCGAAACTAGTTAGGTGTTACACATTACACATATGTATGTTAGTTATTTCGAATCCCTCGTCTTTCGCGCGACTCGTATTATTTTTCACGATCGCAAGTCACTGCTTTTCAACACACACACACACACACACACACACACACACACCACACACACACACACACACACACACACACACACACACACACACACACACACACACACACACACACTTTGGTTCCTATTTAGATTAGCGCGTACGTATTAGAGTCAAAAGCGCGTGCGGAGCCGCGCGTTTCACCCACGTCGCACCGCGCCCATTACGTTAATCATCGATTAATTAACGCGATCCATTAGCGGTACTCATTTTACGGCGTTCGCGGCAGCCTCGGGTCTCCCGAATGTTCCCAACGGTTGTTCGACCACGAAGCAATAAAAGGAAGAAAACCGAGAAACAGTGGACGCCTCACTCGGTCAGGGAAGAACACTAAATAAATCGCTTCCCTCCTTATTTTTGTTCTCGCATCTTCTTGCGCGTCCCTCTTTATTTTCCCACGGTATCGCGATCTTTCATTTACATACACGTGTATACCCCGTCAACCCCGATCGCGTTATCTTCGCCGGAGTTCAGCGGAAGCACGCAATGCGTCGGACAAGGCACTCTCGCCGCAATGTCGCGGATGATAAAGCGCGACGATTTTCCGCATCTGATTGCTGGCATTTTTCAACGAAAACCAGTCGCGTTCAGACTCTTGCCGTTAGCGCGACTCAAATTGCGAGGGGTTAGTACTAGAGAAAAAAAACCACGAGTCGCATTCGCAATGCCAAGTGCCAAACGAACAAGTCGAAGGGAGACCCATCCACTTGAGGCGGCCAAGTGCGTAACTCGCGTTCCCGAGCAACAAGCCCTGCGAGCTCTCTTTCTCTGCCGATTCTCGTCTTTTTCCGGGATCCGAGCGGCAATGACGACGAGGACGACGACGACGACGACGACGACAACTTGACAACTCGACAGGACGGACTCTTTTTCAGTCTCTCTCTTCGTCGCTATTGGGTGCTTCCGCTCCTCGCTGTCGGCGGAGTCTCACGTCTTTTCGCCTTTCCAGAGGCAACAGGTCAATATACACAATCTACTTTGCGCGAGCGGGCAGACCTTCCCGACGTTACATACGTACGACACACACGAGCAGTAAAAACATACGAGGGACACGTATATAACTATATATAATGTATAGGTATACATATACAATACACACGTATATACACATACATATATATATATACATATATATATTTTTCTTCAAATAATGGAAGACAATATTTCTCCGCTCTCCATCGCGTTAAATAAGGATAAGGATAAGACTATAGCGGTATCGCGAGTATAATTCGAGTGATTCAAATCGCGTTAACGTTTAAGCAAGACTTTTAGTGACTTGCGAGTATAATCCGCGCACGATAAGACGCGCGTATAGCCGTTAAGACAGTATCACACCCGCGACATCACAATGCCGCACGCGATCGGCGTAAACTTAATGAGCTCCTAAGAGAGTAAGAGATGGCGAGTCGAGTTCTACTTAAGTAGGCTTAAGCGGGTAGTATTATTGATAGCGGATATAGATATTTAGAGAGAGAGAGAGAGAGAGAGAGAGAGAGAGAGAGAGAGAGAGAGAGAGAGAGAGAAGAGCGAGTGTAAGAATAAGGAAAGTGCGGGGGCCCCCTCCCTCGGATGGGGTGGCTTCAGCGTGCGCGTGCGCGCGAAAGAGAGAGAAAGTGAGAGACAGATACTTAAGAGATATTATTACGCATCTTTATAAAATATACTTAAGAGTTCGTGCGACTGCGTTTTGCGAGAGACGGGAACTCGAGATTGAGATTAGCTCACGTAACTCAAGCGATAATTTAGATTTAAGACTTGAAGACCGCGTAAGTAAGGAATTTGTGAGAAGTATTATAGAAGGATATTCGTTAAGGAATTTGCGGAGAGGAAGGGATATTTAATTTATATATGTTTGTTCTCTTGTAAAACACGCTCCGAGATCGACTCGACGGCGGCGGGCATACGATTGGTTACTTTCGTGAGGATACCCGTTTGTGTCTTGCCGGATTCGCGTGTGAAAGGAAAAGACGAGAATACGCTGAGAGCCGCGTGTCCTTCGAAAATATCCTTTCGAATCGATACTTATAATTGCCATTCTTTTCTTTGTTCCATTATTAAATTATTTGCCAAAGCACTAACGTTGCAAATTGTCGTTTCGCATTTTAGTCTGTAAGTTTTGAATCGTTCGACGCGACCGTATGACATAACCGCGCGATATTCACTTAATTTATTTTTGTTTACTCTCTATCGTCTTGCCTTTTGTTTTGTATTATTAGTAGTAATTATTCGTTGTAAGTGTTAAGTGCATGCGTCAATTTGTCGCCCAAATGATCTCACGTCGAGCGATGCCGACGAACCCTGAATATCCGCGCGAATTTCGACGGTGTCTCTTTTTGATCGGAGGTGATCGGCAGTAGTGATGCCAGAAGTTAAACGCGGCCCCGCTGGACGCGGGATGGAGGGGATACTTGACAAAGAAGAGCCTGGGTCTGTACGCTTTCAGCGCCAATCAGCGTCGCGCTAAACGTCCCCCGAATCTCGTGTCCGACGGGGCCGCGTCTCGTTTCTGGCATCGCTGATCGGAGGCGGATCGCCGTCGGCGAGGGCGAACGCGGGGCGTTCTTGATGAGGAATATCACGTGAGGGATATGAGGAATTTCGAGCAATAAGCGATTGACTCAAACTTTAAACTGCGCTAGATTATTACGAGTATTACAATAACGATAATACAAAACGGCGCTTGTTTGCGCGCGCGTGTAATCGATATAGAGGGATAATCCTTAGGTATTTACACAAACGAATACTCGATGCGAAAGGATTTGGATAACAATAAACGTTCGGAGCAAACGATAGAGCATCTTAGGAGAGCGAGGGAAGGAACGAGCGGATGTGAGAGTTCAGAAGGACCCGTTCCTTCCGATCACACAAGTAATATTCTCTAGTGATACTTTACTATACATATAAATATATGAGAAAAAAAATATAATTATATACACACATCGTGACGCGTTAAGGATAACAAAACTCGCGAGTGATATTTATGACATATTAAGGGGATATTATAAAAGTAAGAGCGAACGTAGAAGAGAGAAGTGTGAGAGAACGAGCGAGCGAGTGTCATGTTAAATGCACGTTAGGGTGAAACGGACGAAACGAAACGTGACGAATGGTGACAAGGAAGGTGACGGATGAGCGCGAGATGCGACGCGACGGAGTGAGCGAGGATCAGCTGAGAGGCGTACGTCTCGTTCCAGTTCCCATTCTTAGCGACTCCGCGTGCTCGTGCGCGATTAAGGGGATGCTGGTGTGATTCTGCACTTTCGCACCTTTTGCACTTAAAACTGTCTGTTTCGTGGAAAGATTTGTGTGATGCACAAATTAAATGGCACGTGTACAGATGATCGAAAGCAGCTTGCTATTCCGGCCAAGTTAAAGAACAATATGACATCACTGAAACTAAGTTTGTAAGTCTAATAAAAAATAATAGTGAGCAACACACATACTACATGTACTGTATGTATGTGTTGCTCACTATTATTTCTTATTAGACTTACAAACTTAGTTTCAATGATGCCATATTGTTCTTTCATTTGGCCGGAATAGCGAGCTGCTTTCGATCTGTACAGGTAAGCCATTTAATTTGTATATTACACAAATGTTTCCGCGAATTGACAGTTTTTAGGTTAGAAAGGTGCAAAAGTGCAGAATCACTCCAGCATCCCCTTAATGCGCGTATTTAACGAGCCTCCCGTCCCGAACAACCCCGCGATATCGGCGCGAACACTCTAGCTCTCGTTTCTGCCCCGCCATCGATCCATCTACCTCTCTTCAGCTTCTCTCTCTCTCTCTCTCCCCTTCATTCTCTCTTTTCTCACTCGAGGAAATTTCTGCGCAAAAAAGAAAACTAAATTAATTAGGACCGGGGATATTTGCTCTAACATTTTCTCGGTGGCGTTTCCACGAAGGGGGAGAGAGAGAGAAAGAGAGAGGGGGAGGGAAAGGGAGAGAGGGCGCGCTATTCGGGAGTTGTTCAGGAGGGATGTGTTTCTCGGGCTGAACCAGTGTCGTCGGAGCGTCTCGGAGCCTTTATCGATGTATTTATTTCAAAGTTGCCTTCTGGAAGTACAGAAATCCTGAGACGGGCGCTCGACGATGCCGCTTCGCGCGTTTTCGCGCGGCAATCGCTTTTCGGAACGCGAAGACTCGGGGATTGGGACCGGGGCGTAGTTTCGGTGAGTTCAATTTTCGACGCGGAAACAAAAAGATTTCCTTCCATCTCGTTTCCGCCTCTTCTCTGCCACGAGCAAACGTCGAAATTCTCACGTGACCATTCCCGACCATCGGAAACGGTTCTCGCCGAAATTTCTCTATTGCTCTTTCACTCCCTGATCGATAACGAAACACTTCGCCTAGTTTCTATACGTTCTATATACGGGTCGAAACAAGCCTCAAAATCGTCTCGGGGAAGTGAAGTTTCCGGACGGATCGCGTCGTCGAGACTGCAAATCGGGACTGTCTCGAGTGAAAATTTGGCGATGCGATATTAACGATGCGCGGTTGTAGTATTCCTCTCGGTACGAGACGAAGAGGGAGCGGAAAAATTTCACGTCGAATTTCAGCAATAAATTTAGCTGTACAGAGCGCGGGTCGTTTATCCGCGTCGCGAAGCGTTACTTGACGTTTCTCTGAACTATCATTTCGGAAATGTCTTATCGCGATGTCGTGTATCGCCTCGACGAGAGACGTGACGATTTTACCGAGAACCGTGACAATTTTGCAATTTCTAGCGGAGCATTATGAGCTGTAACGGGGAACTCTTGATCCTACTCGATGTCGCGTTCGATAATTCGAAAAAGCAAAAAGTAATGTTACACGATGTGCAATGAGTGCGTTCCGGTAAGACACAGCTACTACAGCGCTACGGTAGCGCTACACGAGTGCGGCACAACTTAGGCACAACTGTAGCGGAACTTCTTCCTCTTCATTGTGGCTTTCATCTGATGAATTACCGAACAATATGTCATTTATGAGCGAATCTTCAATATTTTCCATTCTATTCGTTTCATTTAATTGGTAAATGCGACTCTTGCAGTTAAAATACAATTTTGAGGTTATGCATGCTAATATAAGTAATGGCGCCGCTACAATTGTAGCAAAAAAGCTGTGGCGCTACGGTAGCAGTGTCTTGCCGGAACGCACTCAATGTCGATTCATTACGCCACACGAACCCATCATCGCACTCTGAACATGCAATATAGCTCCATTATAGCTCATGAAACGTGTAATTATCACGTTGTATTGTAAAATCGTTAAGACGCGCGACGAGGAAATCAAGGGCTTCGAGCTTTAGACACGAGATCGATAACAACCGAAGCAATTATCCTTCCTCGCATTTTCTCTCGTTCTAATTCAGTTAAATCTGCGAGCGATCGTGTGATGTAAATTAAAACAAAATGCGTCGATGCCCCTGTAAAGAGTTGAGAAATCACGGTCGCTGATACTCGTCCCGCGTAAGGTAGAGTCATCGTGCCTGACATTGCCGATTTTTGCAATTGTGCGAAACGGTGAACTCGTCACCGTCTACGACGGAAGGGGAGCACCATAAATACATATTCGTGCGGCGAGACTCGACATCGTTATCGGATGATCGAACCTTGCCTTGTCTGGTGTTTATCTACGATCTAATAGCTGCTCAGTGACAAAAGGATAAAACATCTCGTCATCATCGAGAAAAATGTCACCACGGCGAAAGCCACCTCTCTTTCCAGATCAGCAAGTCCTCCTTTCCCCTCCCCTCAATTTCTCCTGGTTTGTCCCAGTTCCGTAAACCCCTTAGTATATACATATATACATACATCTATATATATATTTATATTTGTATCTCAGTCTGATAATTATGTATCTTATATTGCGAATGTTGATATAGTAATTATTAGCGTAGCTAGTATTTTTTGATAAGCGCTAACCACCACTAGTTGTGTATGAAAGTAGGTGAAGCATGCTGGTTGAAATATTTCTCCTCCTATAACAATATCGTCATCCACCCCATTTTTTTCAGCCCTCCGAACCACCTTCCCACTCGTCTTCCGCTTTTCTTATCACGGTTCGCTTGCGATTACCGCTTTCCCATCGGCACGAACGTCATTGCTCGAGCATTCTCAAGAGGGATAAAATGATAGAATGGAAAGAGATAATAGATTCTAACTGCCAGTGTACCATACCTGGGGTACGCTCTCGGGTACTTGGGCTTCGCAGCCGCGCGATCCTTTAACGACCTTTGGTCGCTGCGTCACTTTATCGATAAATCGCGATCTTCTCGCTTAATCACGTTCATATCACGATTACGGTAACCCCGGCAATCAAATATCACGTTCTTAATTCTACCTTCTGCTTATAGCTTTCTCGCTCGGGATTCATTAGGTTAACATCGCTCGACGAGAGATTAACGAGAGATAATTGGAAAACGAGGTCGGCGCGATACGACCGTTCGATTGTTAACAAGAACCGGTGATCTCCCGGAGACTAGCCTTTTTTTTTTTTACTTTTGCCCTGTCCCCCCATCCCGCCCGATTACCTCGATCCAAACCACTTCCGCCTGACTGTGAGAAACGTTCAGACGAGAAGCACTCGCGAGCGAAAGCTGTCGTTTCGGATTTCTTACGAAAGGTATCGATAATAATCCGAAAGGAAGGTTAAAAAATCTGAGGGAGGAGAAAGAGAGAGGGCAGGGAACGAAACCAAACTGTGTAATATAGATTACGATACACACGCAGAGCTCCTCCCACGACTAATTGCGTAAGCGCTGATATTCGATACTCGAATCGTATTACTATTACTCATTATCATTATTACCGCCATTATGATTATTATTACTATTTGATGATAATTATTATTACGCATCAGCATCATTATTATGCTTGTCATTACTTATTATTATTATTATTAGCTTATATAAATGCAAAGTACACTCTCGTATTACGTTACTGTGACACGCTTAATCGTACGCGCGAGTGTGAGCATCGCGCGCTGTGTGTACGTCCGAGTTGCAGTTTTCTCAAACGTCCTCCTTCGATCCGGTTCCCCGGTCCGGCAGTTTTCCTCCCACCCCCACCCCCCACCCCCTCCCTCTTTTCGCGCGTTCCCTCATTATTATTCGTCGCTACATTCCTATAGTGTGCCAGTCACGTACGTGCCATAAAGGGGACGAGTATCAGGTCCGTTAATAGACGCGCCGCGACGCGCGTAACCGATTTGACCGTCGATTGCTTCCTGAAAAGAAGACGAGAGAGAGGGAGAAGAGAAAAAGAAACGTCGCGGAAGAAAGAAATCCGAGGGGGTGCGCGAGAGGGAGATTCGCCATGTAAAGTCACTACCCGGGGTGGGGAACGATCGATGACGGGGACTCGCACACGACTCTTGCGTCCGCGCCTCCCCCCTCCCCCTCCCCCTCCCCCTCTCGTATCCTGTCGCCGGGGTAGCGACTCGAAATTCGAGAAGACGTTTGTGCTCTCCTCGTTTCTCCATCTCTTTCTTTTCTTCTCTCCCCCTCCTCCCCAGATCGGTTCAGTCGTTAGCGATGCGTATGGAAGCCGATGTGGGAAAAAAACGCATTCGACTCTCCGATTTAATTCGCGTCTCTATTTTGTTTGCCCTCGTTTCTCTTTCCGCTTTGCTTGATTCGTTTGTTTTGACTTTTCCGACACGTTGTCTCGTTCTGATGAAAAAGAAAAAAACGCCGACGAATCATCCAGCGACAATTTTCATATTTGCGTTAGAACAGCACGCGCGCGATAAACACGCGTGTACCAACGAAAAATACACACACGCACACACAGACACAGGCACAGATACACACACATGCAATATATACACACGTGCGCGACATACAAAGCAGGAAAATATACGCTATTAACGCAAGAGTACGCTCGATGGCGCACGCCAAGAACAACACACGAACGAAAACGTAACGTAAAAATAGTATAGGTTGATGCCTAGAAAAATTGCCAATAAAGTAGTCGTTTAAAACTTGTAGCTAACCTCTATTTGTGTATATCTTTCCTTTTTGTATTTTCTCACTCAGCCCCCTACCCATCCCCCCTCCTCGTCCTCTATATATAGTTATAGATTTCCCCAGGAACTCTCTTTCGCTCCACATTTACGGTCCATCTCTTGTTTATCTATTATTGACAAAAATCCTCGTGTGTCCTGCCTAACTTGCTGGCAAAAAGTAATTACGTTGGTGCTGTATATACTCGATTATCCTATCTACTTATTGTGTACGTTTATTTGTTTCTTCCTATGTATCTTCTTAATTAATATATATG